CTTGTCCTGAAGCCCTCAGCCTGGCCAAAAGCCAGGTCCACCCTGGTGAGGTAGCCCCCATTGCTTTTCCTCCACACCTGCTTCTCCTTGCATTCCCCTTTTTCCCTGCTAGGCTAATAGTAATTATGGACCTGTGGGCCCTTGTTTCTAAGTCTGAAATAATCCCTGCTTCATCCTTAAACTGGTATGTGTAAAACCAGATGATTTATTCAACATGTAGAAATTACACTCTATTTACAAAATTTAAGGTGGCGGGGTGCCTGGGTGGCTCAGTTGAGCGTCCCAACTTCGGCTCAGGTTATGATCTCAAGGTTCGTGAGTTCGAGCCCAGCATCGGGCTCTGTGCTGACAGCTTGGAGCCTGGAGCCTGCTTCGGATTCTGTGTCTCCCTTTCTCTACCCCTTCCCCTCTCGTGCTCTGTCTCTCAAAGATGAATAAACGTTAAAAAAAAAAACAAAAAACAAATGGGCCCCTGGGTGGCTCAATCTGTTGAGCGTCCGACTTCAGGTCATGATCTCACAGTCCGTGAGTTCGAGCCCCACATCGGGCTCTGTGCTGACAGCTCAGAGCCTGGAGCCTGCTTCAAATTCTGTCTCCCTCGCTCTCTGCCCCTCCCCCACTCATGCTCTCTCTGTCAAAAATAAACATTAAAACAAAATAAAAACTGCAAAGTTTAAGGTAGTATGAAAACAGAGGCAAGCACTTCAAACCCAACTTACTTAAATATGTCTTAAGTTTCCTTGTTTATTTTTTGAGAGAGTGCAAGTGGGCCAGGGACAAAGAGGAGGGGGAGGAGAGAGAGTCCCAACCAGGCTCTGCACTGTTGGCCAACGGACTCAAACCCACAATTGTGAGATCGTGACCTGAGCCGAAATCCAGCTGGATGGATGTTCAAGCCACTGAGCTACCCGGGTGCCCCGAGAAGGAAGGACAGATCTGGGAGAGGCCAGCAATGGCCACCCCATACCCCTTGCGGGGGCTTCCCAGCCAGGGAGGCTCAGAGTGTAGGGAAACAAGCTCTGAGCTAACTGGCTGGACTGGAAATTTACTCTTTTCCACTCAGTTCCTCAGTCATTCCTCAGCTTTCTCCCCGGGGCTCTCCCTAGCTGGCTCCTTGCAAGCACTGCCTCCTGCCTGGTGGTGGGCATGGGGGCCGGGGCCTGTGCAGCACTTGGAAAGCAGGCCCCTTCTGGATCACTTTCAGGTAGGGTAGCAGAGGGTCGACACAGTCCAGTCAGCTGTCTGCCAGTGGGTCAGCAGGAAACTTGGGCTCGCCCTTCGGTTCCCACAAGACGGGGCCAGCCTGTGTCCGGGAGCAACAGCAGAGGGGGCCAGAGAGCAGAACCTCAGGCCTGTGGCCAGCCCAGCCCGCCAACGGGGAAGGGCGAGGTGTGGTTTTCACCACACCCGTCCGCAGCTGTTGTCTCACTGGTGGTGCTGTGGTCTACTGGGCATGAGAATCTTGAGCTCCCACCCTGAGCCTCCGGTCCCCACCCCTGCCTCCCCGTCCCTTGGGTTGGGAGTGCTTCACCGTCACCCCACTGTGGCCATCACAGCCTGCTTTCCCTCAGCCCTGACACTGAAGCACCGACCGAAGAACACCGCTGAGCTGGCTGTGCCGTGCCTGGGCCCCACATCCTCTTCCTCCCTCGGCCCAGTGGTGGTCCCACCTGCCCCCGTTGGGCATTCCTCAGGGGGAGTCCGTCCAGCTGGGCCTGGCTTTGGTCAGCAACTTCAGCACAGGCAGCTGGCCGTCTAGCTGCCTTCCTGAGGACAAGGCTAGGGGAAGGAAGGAAGGGCCAAGTCCCTGCCCAGGCCGCTAGCCCAAATCCCGCAGCACCCCCACGGAGAAGGCTAAAAATGCCCTCTTGGGCCAGATGGCTGGCCTTTTGGCTCCCTGACCCCTTTGTCACCTCTTTGTCAGCACGTGTGGGGAATGAGCAAGGTTGTAGATTGAGGTGATGCAGCTGGGTCAGCTTGGAGTTTACACAGAAGAAGGCTGTGCCGTGAGGTGGAGCCAGGGCCTGGTGTCCTGCCCCCTGGGGGGTGTCTGCTCCCCGTGGCTCTGTTAATTGCCCAGCAGCCCCCTGGCCCTGGCGGTGAGGGATCCCACCTGGATACCACCATTGTTCCAAGCAGGATCATGGAACTTCTCTGGGGTGTGCCCCTTGCCTGAGCATCAGGGGCCAGGACTGTCGGTCAGGCACACCCAGGAGAAGCATGTAGCTTTCTGCCCTGAGCAGAGGACCCTCCTCCACCCCACGTACACCATCACCCTTCTCCATAGAGGAAGCTCAGAGTTCTGCAGTCACCCTCACTACCAGGGAAGCAAGGGCAGGGGCTTTGGTGAGGCTGTGGTCCCTGGAGGGGCTATAAAGCCACACATGACTTGGAAGGGTGCCAGGGACTGGGGTCTTGTCTCCATCCAGTAGCTGCCAACCCTAGTTCAGGAATATATACAGTGGAATGGAGGGTGGGCAGTGCCCAGTGCAAGGTGCAAGAACAGATTGCTGTGGGGCGTCTGGATGTGCAGCGGTCTTCGGCTCAGGTCACGATCTCACGGTTTGTGAGTTCAAGGCCCGTGTCAGGCTCTGTGCTGACAGCTTGGATGCTGTTTCTCTCTCTCTCTCTCTCTCTCTCTCTCTCTCTCTCTCTCTCTCTGCCCCTCCCCTGCTCAGCCTCTTGCTCTCTCTTAAAAGCAAACATTAAAAAAATAAAAACATCAAAAAATAAGAAAAGGGTGCCTGGGTGGCACAGTCAGTTAAGCATCAGATTCTTCATCTCGGCTCAGGTCATGATCTCACAGTTCATGAGTTTAGGCCCCTGCACTGTTGGTGCAGAACCTGCTCGGGATTCTGTCTCTCCTTCTCTCTGACCCTTCCCTGCTTGTGCTTGCTTTCTCTTTCTCAAACTTAAAACAAAAACTTAAGAAGAGAGGCCTGCGGCCCTAAGCTGTCCCCTGCATCTTGGGAGTCTGGATTTCTCCCTGGCCATTGGCATGACGGTCATCAGCCTAGAGGACAGGAACTTCAGGGGCATGGTGGGGGCACCAAATAAAGGTAAGGCCCAAAGCTGGCCCCCCTTGGCGGAAGCATTCAAGGCCAGGGAGGGACAAGAAGCGCCTGGCGCTTTGAAGGAAAGGCCTAAGACTTGCTTGTATTTGGAGTTGTGCCTGGCACACAGCAGAAGCTCCAGACGTGTTTGCTGACCAGCCCGGATGGCCTTGGCAGCCCACAGCAGAGCTGGCTGGATCTGCTCCTGGCATGGGTGGCAAAGAATGAGCCCAAAGTCCCAAGAGCTTTGGTTACCGGCCCGGCTTCCAAACTGGGAGTGTTCCATGTAGAAACTGGGGCTCCAGTGGTCCCCGAGAACAGCTGCCCCCTCCCATCCCTTATTAGAATCTGAGCTTTGTGTCTTGACACTTCAGTAAGCAGAAGCTATAGCAGGTCAGGATGCTGCTGGGGACGGGGTGGTAGCTGAGAGGATAGGCTCAGGGTCAGCCAGGCTCAGGTTCAAGGCCCAGCTCCCCCATGTGGATGAGTTTCCGAACCCATCTGTGCTTCCCTGTCTGTAAAACGGGAATGAAAGCAGTGTCTAATAGGCTTGAAGGGATTTAATGACATAATCTGTGCAAAGCCTGGTGACTAAAAATATTTGACAGCAGAAGTAAAGGGCACTGACCAATCAGAACACAGACTGGTAGTAGTAAACAACCAGTACTGCCCTCTGGCTGAGTACAGCCCCCGTATCAGGGCTTACCACAAGCTCAGGGTTAGTATTACCAATAGTACAGAAGCTGCTATCATTCATGTTACAGCAGGGCAAAGGGGGTCCAAATCAGAAGATAGGCTAGCCCTCTGGAAACAACCACAAAGAGAAACTCCCAGAATGGGTGAGAGGGTGGCCATCTGCCGAGAGCAAACATTTTCAGAGAAGGTGTCTGTAGATATCAGCATGGGAGATGTGGACCCAAATCCCATCAGGGGTCCAGGCTGTGACTGCAGCAGAGAAGCGAGAGCTACACAGAGCTCAGAGACCCTCAACTGCATGAAGAAAAACCAAGTCTAAAAAAACTTTTTTGAACATTTATTTATTTTGGGGGCACCTGGGTGGCTCGGTCAGTTGAACGTCCGACTTTGGCTCCGGTCATGATCTCACTGGTCACGGGTTCGAGCCCCGCATCGGGCTCTGAGCTGTCAACACATAGCCCAACACTGGGCTCAAACCCACGAACCATGAGATCATGACCGGAACCGAAGTCGGATGCTTAACCGACCGAACCACCCAGGCGCCCTGAAAAACTGAGTCTAGCAGGAAGGGCCCAAAGGCTAAGAACAGCACAGAGACGGACACAGATTCTGGTAGGGAAGAGGCACCTCTAGAATGCCTGTCTTCAGTCAGGAGCCAGTTCTCACTATCGCCTGGACAGATGTGGGTCAGCAGCCTCTAGGCCTGCCTCAGCCGCTGGGCATCTGGCTGGCACCGTGGTATTTCCATCACTGTGGTGGGTATCACTGGCAATTCGGTCACGATAACGCAGTCCCGTGTGACAGATGGCTCTGGCTTTGCTGGTACGAGTGAGTTTTTCAGCCAGTAGAGCAGAGGACAGACCAATAAGGGTGCCACCCCGCCCCGCTCCCGCCAACCCTGTGACATCTGGCCAGGAAAGTGGGAGCGAGGGTCAGAGGTCAGAGGCAGACTTCTCCTGAACAAATTTCATGTAACCCGCTAGATGGGCTTCAGAAACAGAGTAAACACATCTTCCAAATAAAATCAATGTTTCAGAGTTCCTCCACCGAACAAACAGGAACACTTGCCCTTAGATCAAATCCAGGTTCTCTAAGACTGAAACAATACAAAGGACGAGTATAGGGCAAGTGGATATGTTTTCAATCAAAATGAAACAATGGAAATAAAAACAAGGGTGTAGGCCTGGCAGGCATTGGGATCCCTCCTCTCTCTCTCTCCTTACTTAGAAAGCGTTCCTCCTCCATCCCAGCACTTAGCCAGAGGGGGCCGGATGGTGTCTGCCTCCCACCCAGAGCAGGAGAGCCTGGGGCTTTTATCTGGCCAATTGCACACAGGAGAGTCCACTGATGTCTGTTGAATTAATGGATGACTGATAATAACAGCAAATATTTATTCGGTGCTTACCAGCGCCAGGTGCTAGGCTGGGCACTTTATGAAAATGATCTCATTCAGTTCCTTTTTATAACCGTTGGTTGGGAGGAATCGCTAGCCCCCATTGTACAGATGAGAAACTGAGGCTCAGGTGCAGTCATCTGCCTGAGATCCTAAGAGCAGAGATTTGGGCTCAGGACTGTTGGGTGTCAGAGCTCAGGTGGGTAAAGCATTCACAGAGAAGCGGTTGCCTGGTCCCATGCGTCTCTGAGAGTGGTGCCTGGATGGGAGGCATGGTTTATGAGTTCAATCCCATTTCATCCAGCCCTAAGGGCCACTCATTGTCTTGTCTTTTGTTTTGCCTAGGCTAAAAAATGCTTTACTGAGGAGTGCTCAAAGGGAGCAGGCCATCAGATGGAATTTGGGATAGTTTCATTTCCCAAGTTGTTTTTGTTTTTTATAATAGAGAGAGCAAGCATGAGCAGGGGAGAGGGGCAGAGGGAGGGATACAGCCTTCGCGTGGAGCCTATTTAAGCAATTATTTAATTAGATATTTAATTATTCATTTAAGTAATCTTTACACCCAAGGTGGGGGCTCAATCCTGCGACTCTCGGATCATGACCTGAGCCTAAATAAAGAGACGCTTAACTGACTGAACCACCCAGGTGCCCCCCAAGGTTTTTTTTAAAAAAGCAGCTTTTATTGAGGGGTGCCTGGCTGACTCAGTCAAAAGAACACTCGACTCTTGATCTAAGGATTGTGAGTTCAAGCCCCACATTGGGTGTAGAGATTACTTAAATGAAAAGATAAATTTAGGGGTGCCTGGGTGGCTCAGTTGGTTAAGCGTCTGACTTCAGCTCAGGTCATGATCTCACAGTTCATGAGTTCGAGGCCCACGTCGGGTTCTGTGCTGACAGCTCAGAGCCTGGAGCCTGCTTCGGATTCTGTGTCTCCCTCTGTCTCTGCCCACCCCCCCCCCCCCCCCAACGCTCGTGCTCTGTCTCTGTCTCTCTCAAAAATAAACATTAAAAAAATAAAAAAACCAGCTTTATTGAGATACATTACACATATCATACAATTCACCCATTCCAAGTATAAAATTCAGTGGTTTTAGTATATTTGAAGATCTGTGCAACCATCACCACGGTCAATTTTAGAACACTTTCCACACCACAAAGAGAACTCTGTACCCTTGGTTATCACTCTTTATCCCCTCCATTTCCCTCAGCCCTAAGCAACAACTAATCTCCTTTCTGTCTCTGCAGATTTGCCTACTCTGAACATTTATGTATCTGGAATCATACAACTTGTGGTCTTTTGTGACTAGCTTCCGGCATTTACCATGCGTTCAAGGCTCAACCATGTAGTTTCATACTGTGTATCAGCACTTCACTGTTTTTATGCCTGAGAAAAATTCATTGTTATGGACATGCCACATTCTCTTTATCCATCTATCCCTTTGGGTTGTTAACATTTTTTTTTTTAAGTTTATATATTTATTTATTTTTTAGTAATCTGTACACCCAATGTGGAGCTCGAACTCATGACCCCAATATCAAGAGTCGCATGCTCCTCCAACTGAGCCAGCCAAGCGCCCTCAGTTGTTACCACCTTTTGGCTAATGTGAATAGTCCTACCATGAGCATTAATGTAGAAGTTTTGTGTGGACCTATGTTTTTTTTTGTTTTTTTTTTTTTAATGTTTATTTATTTTTGAAAGGCACGGGGGAGGGGCAGAGACAGAGAGGGAGGGACAGAGGATCTGAAGCAGGTTCCACGTTGACAGCAGTGAGTCGGATGCAAGGCTGGAACCCACGAACCGTGAGATCATGACCTGAGCCGAAGTCCAGACGCTCAACCGACAGAGACACCCAGGCGCCCCTGGACCTACGTTTTCAATTCTCTTGTGTACGTACTTAGGAGTGAAATTCCTGGGTCACATGGGCACTCTATGTTGAGCATTTGGTGGAAATGCTTAACTGTTTTCCATTCCCACCAGAGACTGAGGGTTCTGATTTCCCCACATTCTCAGCAACATTGCTGTAATTGTTATTGTCTTTCATTTTGGCCAGACTAATGGGTGTGAAATAGCACCTCATTGTGCTTTTGGTTTACATTTCCTTAATGCTAATGATGTTGAGCACCTTTTCATGTGCTTATTGGCCATTTGTAATCTTCTTGGGGAAAACGTTCAAGTCGTTTGCCTATTTTAAATTTATTTGTCTTTTTTGAGTTGTAAGAGTTCTTTATGTGTTCTTGATACAAGGCCCTTAAATATATGATTTGCAAATATTTTCTCCCATTCTGTGGGTTGTCTTTTTACTTTCTTCATTGTGTCCTTTGATGCAGGAAAGTATCTTATTTTGATGAAGTACAACTTATCTATTTTCCTTTTATCTCTTGTGCTTTTGGTGTCATATCAAAAAAGCCACTGCCAAGGTCACAAAGATTTATCCC